AGAGCCGTTGACAGCATCCCGGCATATGTCGCCAGGTGCAAGTTCTTTTTCGCCCTCTGCCCTGTCGTGGAAACCAGCTCGCTTGGAAAAGTGTTTACCACGTTTTCTTGGAACGATCGAGCATGGTGCCGCACGGAGAGAGTCCTGAGAGAACTGAACCCGAACGATCCCTGGATTATCATGATCAAGAGCAGCACGGAGTTAGAATTGACAGCGTCCTTTGCCCCTTTTTTCGTCGTGCAGCCGGCGGGCGAAGGCCATTTCACGGACGACAATGATCGCATGAAGCTTGCTCCAGTTTTTCAGCATGCCCTGCTGTGCAAGATGAAGCTCCTTCTCCAGAGCCAGGATGTTGTCGGCTATCGGTTTCTCCTGAACAAGCAAAATGTCTACTTGAGAGGTTTCGACGCAGCCGCGGTGTATGACTTGGTGCCCGGCTTTGCACCAGACCCCGGCTGGGGGACGGACACAGCGGCCGTTGCTGCGCAGCAGTTCCTTTTCCAGAATGGCTTTACAACGATTCACAAGTTCAGTGGTGGATGGTCACCACTGCACTATGCAGCCCTGCGTGGAGATCCGCTTGTGATACAGGGCCTGCTCCAGCTGCGGGCGAATGTAGATCGCTGGACTCGGCAAAGTCAACCGATGGCAGGGGTTCCACCTGGTTGCACAGCTCTCGGCATCTGCTGCCTTTTCAAACACCACGACTGCATGCGCTTGCTGATCACTGCAAGAGCCAAGCTTGATGCTGGTCTTCATCCACAAATGTCAGGATCAGCTGTGGCAGACGATCCCGAAGGCATCCGAATTCTGTGCTCAGCCGGCGACCGGATTTTTAAGAAGAATCACTTCGGAGACGTGGCTTTGGACTATTGCTCTGTGTTTGGAGCAATGGCATCAATGGAGGAGCTCGTCACCCAAGCTGGATCACAGTTACACCAAGTGGAATTGGGCAGGTCACTGTACTTCGCAGCAGCAGGTCGAGGTGGTAGTGCTGAGGCTGGAGTTTCAGAGACAAAGGGGACCCGAACGTAGACTCCCCAAATAGTAATAATAGCTTCCTTCTCCTGAGCGTCCTTGACAGTGGTACCCTCCCAGGTGATCATGCGGCTGGTCGAGTTGAGGGCCGATATCAATGCAACTGATCGTGTTGGCAAGCCTTTGCGTGCCCTTTTCGGCATTAAAGGACTGCAGTATCGATTTGGCAAGAGAACGATGGTGACAAGGTGGGGATACCATTATGGAGGTCAGACGCCGTTAATGGCTGCTGTGATGTCAGGCCAGTTCGAGGGTGCTGCCGCCCTTATTGCTGCGGGAGCGCGACTAGACATGCGCAACTGCCGCAACTGGACTGCGGCGGACTTTGCAAGAGGACATTCGGTGCCAGACTTTTTGACTGATGCTTTGTTTCATGGACAGCCCGAAGGCTGTGTCAGAGTGACAGCTTCGGCGCTTGCCAATGCCCACGTCCAGCTGTAGCTGCACAAGCACACGACGTGTCACACACACACACACGCACACGCTCACGCACACGCTGTGTGCATGTAACTGAACAGCCTCGTATCAGCATGAATCAGCATAGACGTTTGAGTGCAAAATTCCACCAGCAGCGTGCATCTGTGGCATGTACATGGCTGGATCTGTCGAGTTCCTCAAGCCTGTCATGTCCCTGGTAAATCGATATGTTGCTCAGTCGCTTGTAGCTGTTGAGGGCTGAAGTTTAGGCTATTTGTATTTCTCTGGCCGCAAACGGGTATGATCTGATCGGATTCTTTTGATGCTCCCTAACCATATAAACACTAACCCCGCAGCAGTGCCAGCTCTAGAGGAACTAACTGCCTGCCTGCCTGTCTGTGTGATTGTGTGTGTGTGTGTGTTTGCGCGCGCGCGGGGGTGTGGGTGTGT